ATTTTCACTCAATAGCAGCTTAAAGCCTTGGTAATACTTTCCATGCACAAAAGTCTGCTAGGGTCCACTGAGGGCCAAGTTACATAAATTTCATCAGATGAGTCCGTGTGGATCCCTTCATGTTTGCCTGTTTTTTGTGACTTCTCCCGAGAGAATTTTAATTACAATGCACCAGCCGCACATGTGGCCCAGGCAGACTCCAGGCCAAGTATAACAGGAATGATTACTTGGCTGTCGGGTGTCCAGCTGTCCTTGTCTGCAACATATAATCAATGCATAGTTGACGTTCACAGCACTGAACAACACTTCACTAAGAAAACTCAATTATTGTTGTCTAAAAAGTTCTATGTTTCTCCAAAGCAGCGCCAGATTGAGGCTAAACAAGGTCAACCAGGAACTAGAAAGAAACAATGGCAACCTTGCCAACTCTATTTGATCAGTATAAAATATCATGCCAAGTCACTAGAATTGGACCACAATAGAACGATAGAAAAGATACTCTACTTCTGGTCTTTTTTTCATTTATATAATGTCATATATACACCTTATCATCGTATTTTTTGTTCTACAGACAAGTTAAAATTATAGTTATCATTTTCTGAAATTATAGTCCAGTATAGTGACTATCTGTATCAGTTCTGAAACTTTCTAGTATCATAACAACAACTACTACAAACAGTAGTAGTTGTGGCCACGTGTCATTTAGTAATGTCATCAGTCTATCAATGTACTCCTTTAGGCTTGGTTGTTTTACTTTTTTACTGAGTTTTAAGGTTTACAATTTGAACCTTCTTTATGTTGCTTAGGAAGGCTCCAGGATATGAGTTGCACTTGCTCATTTTGTGTACTTTTAAAATATATATATATTTAAAAAAAAAAACAAAGAAACAAAAAACCTGGAAGCTTTTTTTTATATGTGGGATGTCGTGGTCAAGTTACACTAGGGCCCATTTAACGAATTTTTTTTTTCTGATTTAGCTTCTATATCCCTTTAATTTATACAACACAAGTACAAGTACACAGAGTTATTCAATTTCAATTCAATTCAAGTTTGTATACATATACATATATAGGGAGACGGGACAAAACATAGCACATGGGAGAGAGAAAACAGTATTCAAGAATATAGCAGTATTCATATATCAGTTTAATAAATTATGTGTTAAACATCAGTGACGAAGTAATTTGATTCCATGTTAAAGTAGTGAATCACCATCCAAATTTATTTTTTTAGATGGGCCTCGCCTCCTTAAATACAGATGCGTCATTTTAATAACCAGGCTTAATCAGTGGGAACTGTTTACCTGCAACTTTGTGGACTCAAGCCAAAACTAATACCTCCAAAACCTGCCAGTAAGCATTGCCTTTGGCAAGGTGGACACAGTTACAATTAGTCAAGGATTACATGATAATAACTGTTAATTACAATTCAAATCCACTGACTCTGAGTCTGAAAAGAACTGCAAAGCTTCAGTACTAAATATTTAGGAATTATGGGAATACGCAGGTAGAGAAGGCACATACAGAGTGTGTGTAACATATCACTGACTGAGTATGAGTGAAGCTACTTTTACCTGTGTGCTTAAAAGGTTCTCAAAGCAACTAAGCTGAAGGATCTGTGGATTCGAACTCCATTTGCATATGATGTAGGCCACGCATAAATAAAACACGGTAACCTGAGCTGTAGAGCTGGAGGGATGTACACCTGAGCTGCGAAGCACACCCACAGACTAAAAACTCACAGTAGGTTATACATTCTCTCATGAAGGACATTTATATAGGTACATTTATGGGAT